TGAAGCAGATAATTAGACAGTTTGATTCAAACAGTTCATTGAGAAAGAAAGGGGTATGTGCAAAATAACTTCGAAGTATATGCTTTCAGTTTCCTAGATGTTTGATTAGTTTACTTTTAATTCTGTTGGGTTTTTAGAAGTTTTCTATATTTAAATTATCTGATTTTTCAACTAGTTTTGAATGAAGTGGTCAACAGATGATTTATTGCGTTGACGGATTTCCGTGCTGATAGTCTAGTGCTTGGCTAAGTCAAACATTATGGCATCTAAATGAATTATTTAAACTGGTTATATAAATTTATAATGTGCAACTAGTACATGGTTTTTAGTCTTGTTTGGTTCCTGATGAATCTTAATTTAATGGGTTTGGCCGGGTTATGGCTTTATGGCTTTATGGTAATTACCAATATCCTCATAAAATAACATTGATTTTTGGGATTATATTCGGTTATTACTTATTGTTACCGAGGGTCAAGCTTATATTGGTAGTTCTTTTTCGGTCAATGCAAAAATTTGTATGCGCTAAGCTTACTAAGGACTAAGTTCTAAAAGCTTGGATCTTTCCTCACCTAAAAATTGTTGTGGTAATGCAATCAGGTCGCTGGAACTATTCGCAACTGTTGTTTTGAAGCTGAGAATCAGCTACAAAATTTGCTTTTGGTATCAGAGTTTCTATGGCCTGCATTACTTCTTCCCGTAGCTGGAAACAAGGTAACTTGCTCTACATTTTTCTGACCAAAACATTATCTTCTTCATATTGAGGAATAAATTTTGTTTAACCCAAGCCAAAAGACCTTTAAGTGCTCAAGATAAATTTTGTGGCACACTTTCAGAATGTAATCTTGAGGGCTTAAGTTTGTGTCCTGTTTCCTGTTTCATGTCACATGCATTGATGAATAACTTTTTATGCAGATCTACAGCGAGGAGGACAGAATGAAAATGCCACTTGAACTTGGGAGTGTACTTTCGATCGAGCGTGAACCAGTTAATGATCCGGAAATCCGCACTCAAGTATTGGAAGCCATATACTTGATCTTGTTGCAGGTAAGTTGAAATTTTTTATTGAGAATTAAAGACATTAATTTTGATTAGAATACTTATAACGCTTTTAATAATAGATGAATAAATGAAGTTCAAATACTATCATATATGTAGCGGTATTGGTGTCCTATGTTTTTGACATTATCAGTGTCTGAGTGTCCGTGTCGTGTCGTGTCCCAGTGTCTGTCGGAGTCCAGGCTTCATAGGTGTGGGTGTGGACTCATTCACGTAGATTCGTGCAGACTTGCCTAGAATTAGAGATCGAGGACTATTAAATGAGTCTACAAGAGAATGGTTATTCCCTCCCCTCCCCCATGTCTAAAAATAAAATGACAGCGGTTCAATGTTTTATTAAACAACCCAAAATGCATCAAGGCTCCAAAGTTCTCAAAACATAAGCCTCAGCGTTGGCACCCGACTTGACAAATGCATCTAACATCTCAACCTGAACCCATCTGCATAGGGTGAACTATGGTGCCCATATAAACAAAGTCACAAACCAAAAAACATGAATAAACCTATTTGCAAGTTTGCAATTAACCCAACAGTCTGATGAACTGAAAACTAGCTTGACCGAGCTGAATCCAGTTGCAATGAGGTCAACAAGCCCAACTGTGATGAACTGAAAACTAGCCTAATGCGCTAAATCCAGCTCCAACGCGGGGAAAGTAGTCTCACTGTCCTTCACTTTACAATATTTTTGTGCTTAATGATTTGTCATTTTGTCTATTGATTTTGAACTGGTATGTTATTTTTATGTGCCTGAGTTGTGAACACCTATCTTGTAACTTGTGAATTTGTCTTGTCAGTTTATGACTTATGTATTTTGATTAGGTCTATCATCTGGAGCTATAAACCTATCATAGTTTATCAGTTTCTGTAAATTGCATACTGGTATATCCTTCTCGATGCATCAGATTTATGTCGTGAGCTGCCATGTTTTGCAGGAGGCGGGTCGAAGAGCCTTTTGGTCTGTAAACGGGCCTAGAATAGTACAAGTCGGTTACGAAGACGAGGAAGATCCAAAAGTGATGGGAACGTTTGAGCAACTAGGATCCTTGGTAAAAAGAAGAATTCTTTAACCTCCTCCCTGATCTTCATCTTTCTCTTGTAATTTTATTATGTTAATCACCTGCATGTTACTGATAATTTTTTTATCCAGTTGGTTAACGGCAGCGGTATCGAGGAACCATCCACTGAGACGACACAATAGTTACTTTATTTTTGTTTTATGTACTCAACACATATCTCCATAAGAACTCTGGTAGTTGTGAAGGTCATTCCAAGTCCAGTTTTCCATTTTGAATTTGGAGTAACCCTTTTTTAAATGTATAAATTATGTGACTTAGTCAAAATTGTTATGAAAGCCAGAGTAAAAAAATGCTCTTGATGTTGCTAAAATTCAGTTTACCCTTTCAGTTTCTGTATTTGGATTCTCCATTGTAGTGCAAGTATGAGAAGTTGATAAGAAAATTTATCATGATTGCTTGAACTTGAAGGATTAAAAGCCTGTTTTTATTGTTTTCTACAAATTTTGTCGCATGACAATTTTGGTGTGATAAAAGTAGTAAATAATGGGATCCTTCAATTATTTAGTTGTATATCTGGTTCTTGAAAATCAAGGGCTTTTAGTGGAGTTAGAGCCCCCATATTTTGCACACATGACTTTTTGTTTTGACAAGTGTATACTGGAATTTTTCAACTATGGTTAAAAATTGGTTAAATATCCTTTTTGATCCCTTAATTATACCCTTAGGTTCAGATTGGTTTCTTAATTAGTTTTTGTGTCAGATTGGTCATTTTTCATAGATTTGAAATTGCGAAGGTTATTGACTTTGATAAATCGATGCTTATGAATCGAAGGACTTCATAGATCAAGAAAATTTAAATAAAATCGAAGATGAAGAAGAAATTGAAAAAGAAAAGAAGGTGGTCTCAGATAAATCGTTATCTATTAATAATTTGACTGATAATAATTTTAGAGGTCTCGTCATCGACTCGAAAAAATGAAGAAAAACTGAAAAATGAAATTAATTGAGTAAGTATATTCAAAACTAACAATTTAAGAATTTAGAAAAGAATATGAAAGGAATCGAAAGTGAAAATATAATCGTAATGTAACAGAATGATTACAAAATATTAACGAAGTTTAACAAAATACTAATGAAACTACTAAATTATTATTAATTAACTAAATTAAAAAGTTAGCAACAAAATACTAATGAAACTACCAAAGTATTATTAATTAACTAAATTAAAAAGTTTACAAAAAAAAAGCTCTATACAACAAAATTGATGAAATTGTTTTTTTTTTTTTTTATAATTATATTGTCTTAAAAAAGAAGGAGAAAAAACATTTCTTCAAACCAAATTAAAAGAAAATAGAGGATATTTTCAAAACAAAAATTAAGAGAAATGGGCTAGGGATTGAAAGTGAGAGTCCAAGCAAGCTGTGGCTAAGAACCCGGGTCAGACCAGCTGAGTCCAAACCTAGTTCGACTTCAGTTAAATATGGAGGGTCAAGTAAACCCCATCAGCCGCTTCTTATCCTTTCTCAACCACACACCACGCGTTTCAGAAAAATGAAAAAAAGGGAAAGAAAAAAAAAGGTTCAGCAATGCATCGCGAGGAAGAAGCGAACTCACTCCATCTTCAATCTCCTTCCTTCTCACTCAGTTTTTTTTGTTCAACCCAACACGACGACGCAGTTGGGATTTGTTTGGGATTCATTTCATTATTGATTTCGGCTCTCTCCTTCTGTGTTCTAATTCTGGTTTTGAAATGAGGGAGAGATTTATGGTTTGAGGATGAGGTTGGGGGTTATGGTTTTGCAGGTCAGAGAAGGTTAAAAGAAGATACGAAGGTTTATTGGGAATTTGGGGAATGGGTTTTTGGAGTTTACAAGCAGAGAGAGCATTGAAGGAGGATTGGGTTGAATCCAGATCGAAGAAGGGTGAGGGATTGAAGAAGGCTTTTGGGAGGAAATTTGGCGCGTTGGTGTCGCACCTCGAAAATTTCATTCGAAAACACGACCCTCGCGCAAAAGGCACGGAAATGCGGTTCGACAGAGTCGCCACCGAACTTTATTTTTCTCACGTAAACGGGAGAGAAAAATATCGAGAAAACCTCTTAAAAACGGAAGGAACACGACCGTCGCAACCTGATGTTCCTGGGTTCGGGAGTCGGTTACGTTAGGGGAAGGTATTAACACCCCTCACGTCCGTTGTACTCAACGGGAACCTCTTAATTCGAGTTGTGATGAAAGTTAGCTAAGCTTAATTCTTCTCTTCTCAATACTAAATACTAAAACAATACCACAAAGGGATAAAGACGCTAAGGGGAAAGGGGATGGTTATAGGATAGGGTGCTCGCCAAGGATTGGGGCCCTTGTGCCTACGTATGCTCATTCAGACGAGAATGAGAAATCAGAGCTCTCGTAGTTCGACTACGTGAAAGGATGGGGGAGACGGAAGATGAAGGGGATTGTGGAAGAAGATAGAAGTCTGCTCGCCAAGATCATCGCAATCTTGTGCCTACGTATCTTACATTCAAGCAAGAATGAAGAATCAGAGCAGTCGTAGTTCGTGATAACAACCACGGAGAGAAACGAGATTGAATGAGTTTGAAGGTGGGTACGGATGACGATTAATCGAAGCTTAAGAAAGACTTCTCGGACCCAAGTAGTCGGGAGAGCGAATCAAAGACTTGAAACTCTCTCTTTTTCATTGCAAAAGAAAATGTGTTTGAAAGGTGAGGTTGATCGGATGATGACTACTTGAAGTTTAAGAAAGACTTCTCGGACCCAAGTAGTCGAGAGAGCGAACCAAAGACTTGGAACTCTCTCTTTTTCATCGCAAAAGAAGGTTGTTTGAATTTGAAATGGTGTTTGGAATGATGAATAGTTGAAGGATGGTTGAATGATATCGGGTTGTTAATGTTATTTAGAGGCATCAATTGTCCACACACGAATAAGATAACTCGCATCCAAACAACCGAAAGCAAGATCAAAGACTTGAACCCACTCTTTACACCTTGAAAAAAATTAAATAGTTGTTAATTGATTGATGACTTGTTATAAAAATCCGCTTGACATTGGATCAAGGGTTTGACTTATTATCGCGTGCAAAACGTATAGTGGAATAGAAATGGTTTGAGAAACAGAACCGACTTGACTTACGCATTAAGGGTCGAGTTGTGAGAAACGATACTAGTCCCTGAGGGTGCCCACAATATCGAATCCACGATGGAGTGTGTGCAATAGGTTGATGGCGAATGTGTATGAGCACTCGACTTACAAGGTGTTTGAAAATGGCTCGATGACGAATCGAGAATTAGTTTGAAAATAGTTTGATCCGCTCTAGTCCCTATGGGTGCTCCTAGGAGATAAACTGATAATCAAAGAAATGCGAAACATACATCGAAATGGGAGAAGGGTACATGTAAGTTACACGGGGATTGCACGAAATAAAGGGGTCTCATTGTCAGGTAGCCCAAGAGAAAGCCGTGTGTGTGCATTGTGTCTAAACTACGCCTTGAGCAAAGTCGGGCACAAACTCAATATTAGGATTCCTGCAAATGACCAATGATCCAACAGTCCACCAATTTGGCTTTTAGGATTTCGATAGTTTATTATGTGTTTTCGAATATGGGTGAATTAGAATGATGAATAAAATGATGCGAGTATGAACAATTATGAATAATATACAATAATATCCACATTAATATTTGACGGAATTATAAAGCAATTAATATTTGACGGAAATTAAAGTTAGTAGTTAGTTTGGTTAGGAATTAAATCGGGGCAAGTGTAACGCTAAAACCATCGTAACTCGACTTATAATGAAAGTCGGTCTATAGGAGGTCACGTGAGTTGATATTCGTGCTATGAACAAGATAGAGAAATGGTATTGAGAACCATTCTCCAATTTAATCGTGTCGCACGGGCTAAAAATGTGGAATCTCGTCTTAATCGCAAACATTATGCCGATTAATCGAAGGTAGCCAATCACGATCCCAAAGTAAAGAAAATGACCTAAATGGTCATTCCCCATAGATTTGAAATCGAGAAGGTTATCGACTTCGATACGCGGCGCTTACGAATAAAAGACTTCATCGATCGAGAAAGTCAAAATAAAATCGAAAAGAAGAAGAAATGAGGTGGTCTCGGATCCAACATTTTTCATCAATAATTTGACTGGTAATGGATTACGAAAGTCTTGTCATCGACCCAAAAAGTGATAAAATGAATAAAATGAGTAAAAATGGATAAAAAATCGAAAAAACAAAAGGGTAAAAGAAGTTGGTCTCGAGTTTATCATTTGTCATCAATAATTTGACAGAAAAACAATTTTGAGGTCTCGTCATCGACCCAAAAAAACAAAAATGGAACAAAATGTCTAATAAAAAATGAGAAATGAAATCCAATATAAATTCCAAAAAAAGAAAATATTCTAAAACTCTAATAGAAAATAATACAATCTTCTAAGAAAATAAGTATAAAGTTCTAAAATAAAAATTAATATATATATACACCATATTTTAAAACAAAAATAAAATATATAATAATTGGTTGTTTTAAAAACTGATACGTAAAGGAACTAGTATAATCATACTTATAATAATTTACATTATATTTTTAAAAACCTAATAAAAGACTAAAAATAAAATAAAAAGCATTTACAATTTTTTCTAAAAAAATTAAAGAAGAATAGGGGGTATGAACTTAAGGCAAACACGGGCTTACGGAAGCCCAAGACTGTCCACCAAATCCAACAAAACAAAACCAACAATCAGCATCTCGTTCTGCAATTAAAAAAAAAACGAAATTAACAACATTTAGCTTTGGACAAACATATCCACAGAACACCGCTAATGAACCGTCCGACCTCAACTCTTTCTCCTTTACGATTTACTCACTTTTGCTTCTCACTCTCTTCTTCATATCTTATGCTTCTGTTCTATTCCTTTCATCTTCTTTCTGGTATGGATTTCGATTTGGGTTGAAATCAAATTAGGGGTTTGTGAAGCGAAAGATGAAAAAGAATCTTCCGTGAAAAATCTGAATGGTCACGAGCTTTGAAAGGTGTTATGGTGGGTTTGTGTTGCTTTTGTGTTGTTGAATCTGGAAGAAATCTGTAGAAAAGGTTCAATGCTTGAGGTTCTGTTATTGTGTTTTTTACTCTGTTGTATTTGAAGAGAAGGGTTATGTTGTGA